AGGATAAAGGTTCAGAGAAGTAATGTGAGTTATTTGCCTAGACTCTCACAGACACAGACAATGAAGCGGAGGTTTGTAATCCTATCTCTAAATCCTTGCTCTTTGAAGGCTAGTAGAGTACCGCCTAGAAAGATACTAAAACAAATGTGGCTGGAGAAGCAGTCAGGCCAGATGGTGGGGACTCTTGGGTGCTGGAATGAACTCTATGATTCGAGGCTGGCCCTTCTGGGTTGGGGACCATGATACCCACGGGGGGCATGGGGTGTGGGGCTGGCCAACATAGAGGGTGCTCCTGAGGGCTCCGAAAGAAACCGTGAGGTGGAGACAGGCGCAAAGCCAAGGGAGAAAGCATTTCGAGGCGGTGCTTAAGAAAAGCCTGTGCTTCAGAGAAATTAAAGAGGGAGACTTGGAAGAGACCCCTGGATCAAATGACATCACTGGTGATTCCCAAAGGCCCAGGGCCCTGGGATGGTGTGAGCTTGGGAGCTCTGGAGACGCTGGCTGTGGGGACACGTGAAAGAGTGATGAGACTGAGACCCCGAAGTGTCGGGACATCTGGGGAGGACGGGTGTCCCGAGGGGCTGGGCGGAGCAGCCGCATGGCTGGCCAAGGGGACAGGTCAAGCATTAGGAGTTCAGCACTGCTGTGGCTCGGAAGGAAAGAGGAGGTACACTGCATGGGAGTGGAGGAGCTGGGGGCAGCGCGAGGCCTGGAGTGGGTGAGCAGCCTCAGGACCAGCACGCCCTGCCTCGCGCCCCACCTCTTCTTCCCCAGGCGGACGAGCGGCCAGGACGTGGGCAGGGGAGGCCCTGCCCCCAGGAGTGAGCCCCACAGCCCCTGCTCACCTGAGGTGGTGCATCTGAAGGGTGCTGCTCTTCACCCATGGCAGCTTGGGGAAGTGGAAGCGGAGGAAGGAGACAAAGGGAAAGAGTCAGAAGGGAGGGAAGTAGGCTTTCCAGGCTCTGCTGAGGAGATTCATTTTCCAAAGGACTTAAAGACACACATGCTTCAACTGCAGAATTTGTAAAGCAATCTCAAACAAAATCATCCAGGCACCACTAGAGGATTAAATGGCTTGAAATCTTTTGCTGATCAAAATAAAAGGAAAATAAATAATAAGGCTTTGCTCAGATGCCTACTTCTCTCTCTGAACAGCTGGGAAATAGTGTGGAGGAGGCTGGGTGGCTTCTAGGAGTCCCGGTGTGAGGGGTCAGCAGGCACAGGATTCCGTCTCCCGTCTGCAGTGGCACAGTCTCACGGTGCCTCTCTGGTCCACTGGCCTCCTTTCCCCACTGACCAGAGGGAAGCCTGGCCTCTCAAAAGCCTCCCAGCCCACCAGCCCTGTCTGCCAGACCATCTGTGGCTGGCCACCCACTGTCCTCTGGGAGGGTATCGCTTGCTAATCTCCAGGAGTCTCCTCCTGCTCCTCCTCCTCCTCGTCCTCCTCCTCATCTTCCTCCTCCTCCCCCCCCTCTCCCCCCGCCTCCTTCTCCTCATCCAAAGGCTCAGGGGAAGACTAGCAGAGCAGCAGGCAAAGAAAGCTGGAAACAGCTCAAACCTGAGGGGTGTGCTCTTGAGGATGAATACAAGCGGGAATCTCTCTGAGTTTTAAAAACTAAGGATAAGGGGAGGGCAGACCAGCTCCCGCCCTCTGTTCCCAAAACCTTTTCATCTGAAACCCCTTCCCACTTGGCTCTGGCAGTGTTTGTTTTTTGTGAGTGTCCCTCCTTTTAGGTTTATAGGTACAGGTACTCTTCATGTGGAGGTGACCTTTCAAAGCAGATCCCAAGATGGGCTGTTCACATGCAGGAATTTTCTTTAAGGTCTCCAAAGCCCTTTGTGCCTTTTCCAAGAAAGGCACTTGGTAAAAACCAAAACAAACAATGCAAGAGCTCTGATTTGATCAAGTCCCTTAGGAGAATAAGGAAAAAGGAAAGTTAGCATTTCTTTTTTCCTCCCTCAACTCAGGCAAATGTTGAGCCATCCGGCATCCAGTCTTGCCCGGAGAGGGCTTGTGGCCGTAGGAGGCTGGAGACTTGGTGACGAGGGAAGAGTCCGCCAGGGCTCTGGGAAAACACGATGGAGTGCTTTACATTGGTCTCTTTGGTACAGAGGACAGAGTGCTGTCACCAGTCCCAGGGCTTGGGCTGACTCAGGCACAGGGGTGACTGACTGCAGACCTCGGAGCTCCAAGGTCACGGCACACATCGACCAAGGCTGGCTACGCGCAGTCATGTTCCATTGTGGGCCAGGCTCCTCCCCTTTCTATAGCACTCATTGTGTGAAAACGTTACCAGGGGTCAGCGAGAACAGGGCTTTGTTTAGGGTTGAAAAATCCTACATTTGTCTTTTATCTCCATGCGTTATTACCTCTTTGACCCTGAACGAGACAATCTGAATTTCCGTTTCCCTGGCTGTACAACAGTGATACTAATAGCTACCTGATATAATAGCTAAGAGAATTAAGTGAGATAAAGGATGTAAAAGACCCTGAAGTCATAATGTATTAACCAATGTATATTTAATCAATATATAATTGTTAGGGAGGACTAACCCCAGCAATGCCTTCCCCGGAACTGATCATCCATGGTTCCTGCCACCGAAGACGGGGCATTGCTACCCAGTGTGACTTCTGTGACCAACTGACCAGGGCCTGCTCCCAGCCCAGGCCCTCAGCAGAGGACAGCAGTGTTAGGGAAGGCCTCGGGGAATGGCAGTGGCTGCAGGAGAGGCTGCAGGCCAGGGGATGCCGAGGGTGTCTGAGTGCTGGCTCCGGATTACCCACTGCAGTCGCAATGAGCAGTAAGGGCTCCCTGGACGGCCCGTAACACACCCTTGTGTTATAAGAGATCCAGTCAAAATATGGCCAACCAAAAGGAGTAGACCCTTCTCAGAAGAAGCACAGATGGCCAAGAAGCACATGAGAAAATGCTCATCATTGGCAGAAAAATGCAAATGAAAACTACACTGAGTGATCATCTTGGCCCAGAAAGAACAGCTAACATCAGACAGTCTAATAATAACAAATGCTGGTGAGGACGTGGGGATGAAGGAACTCTACTGTACTGCTGGTGGAAATGTACCTAGTTACAACCACTCTGGAATTCAGTGCAGAGATTCCTCAAAAGACTAAACGTAGAAATTCCATTTGGCATGGCCACCCCCCTTCTAGGTATCTTCCTCAAAGAGTTAAATCTTCATAGTACAGGGATCCATACATACCCATCAATGTTTACAGCAGTACCACTTATAACAGCTAGATCTTGGAAACAGTGTATATGTCCATCCACAATGAGTGGATAAGGAAAATGAGGTATTTATACAGAGTGGAGTACCATACTGCCCTAAAAACACCATGTTGAGGGATTTGTAGGTAAATGGGTGCAAGCTCAACTATCACACAGTTTCTCTTCTCTGAGAAACACAAGTAAAGAACAAAATAGAAAAGAGATAACTGAGAAACAGGGAGATGTACAAATACTTCCCCAAATTACAAATGCCAATATATATGTTCATTGGTTTCATTTATATTATTAGTTTATCTTAGTTCGTTGAAAAGAAAGATTTCTGTTATTATCTCTTTCTTTTCATAAGAATCTTTTTGGTTTATGTCTTATACTCTGAGTAACTACTTTGAAGATACACAGTATAACAACTGTTGTTATTCTCTTATTATGTGATTATGAAATTTTATTTTTTAAAAAAACTTCCACTGTGCCTGCAAATTGGCTTGCTAGAAGCTACGATATCAAAAGACTGAAACCCCACTGTATCCACCTCCCAATCCACTGTATGGGCTTTATGACCTTCAGGGTGGGTAGTTTTTTGTTTTTTTTTTTCTAATGGCAGATACTCACACTCAGCAAGAGAACAGTGATTTTGCTTGAAACAAAATACTTGCAAATGAATTTTTAGCATTTAAACAAACCCTAAAACTTTACCAACAAATATGATTTTATAACAGCAAAATTATTTTCAAGACTTTTAAATTTAAACAAAAGCCTGAACAGCAAAGTAAAACAAAAAAAGAGGGCTGAGAGTCCCAATTATGAGATTCCACTTAGCAGGCAAAAGGATTAGCTGATTTGAACATGAAGATATTTTTATCCTAAAGTTTTATTATGTGGGCCAAAAGAACAACACGGTCACCAGCTCAGAGAAGATACATATTTGTTAAATAACTGGTACTCTGGAGCTGTGGCAGGAAGAAAAGACAGGCTTGTGGAAGCGAGAATCCCACATTGCTTCAGTGCATCTCTTTGCTCAGAGCGCGGCCGAGCTGCTTGGGTGGGGGGTGCACCCCCGGAGTTGAGCTCCCGGATGTAGCTCAGGCCCCCATTCAAAGGAAGGGTAGAGACCCCGGGTCCTTGCCATGTGGATGAGAATCAAAAGCAGAGTGGGTTGATTGAGCACAGAGAGGGTAGGGCAGACCGGCTGCGGAGATGCTGGAGGACAGCCTTCTCCCAAATAGTCCTAGGTGAACAGGGTGGGGTTTAAGTTAGGCACGAAGAGGACTTTTTAATTGTGGTGATATATGTGAGTGTAAAACGTAACATTTTGAATCTTAACCATTTAAAATTATACACTACAGTAATTTTTACAACTAAGTGTACATTGTGCAATTAAAAGGATTTCTTGGTAGAGAAGTTTGAGGATAATGTTGGATCTCTATCTCAGTTTGGTAGGAAGATATGGAATCTTAGACATTTTGTAATACAGCCTGCATTCTGAGTCCTGAGGGCTGGGCCAAGATGACCCCTAAGGGTCCCTCGTGGCCCTGAAACTCAAGGCCGTAATCAGGCTGGCTCGGCCGCGGGGCACACTCAGGCAAGCGAGTTCGAGCTTCCGCGGCAAAGGTACAGATACAGGGTCAGTCTCCGCCTCTGGGGAAATGGACCCTGGTGCCGTCAAGCTCCGATTCTATACGGGCGGATTTTATCAGCATGGGAAGGTGAACAGTGCTGGCGTCCCGGGGCCCAGCTCCGCACCGCTGGCCTTACCTTGGGCTTGTACGCGTTCAGCATGGACATCTCCACGTTCTGGCCCCTGACGTGTTTCGGCTGCCTCTGCACTGGTGGTGATGATGACTTCTGGTTATTGCGGCAGACGCAGATAAAGAAGAAGAGGAAAGCGATCGCCAGGGGAATGGCCACGCTTGGCACCAGGATGTACAGGATTTCCATCTTATTCTTCTCCTTGGAATCTTTCGAGTCTGGGTGCAGAAAGGAGAAAGAGAAGTCACACTTGTTCCCACGTATACGATCACACTGCACAGTTTAAAACGAACTTCTATTCTCCTAGACACACCACCCTCCGAAAAAAGAAACACACCACTTACTGCACTTTGTTTCTACCAAACCTTGACAGAATTTATTGAAGTTTAAAAGTTTGAAGTTTAAATGTTCAGAAATTAAACAGGGACATGATGAAGACTTTGGGGGTGCATGGACCCCCCCAAACGATGTTGCCTACCTCGAGCAGCAGACCTGCATTTGTCTGACACCTGAAGAGTTAAACACCAAGTGAGTCCACTGCATACATCTGGGCACCTTCCTGTGGACTACAGGGCTCTTCCTCCATTGGCCGCCATCTTGAGAAATCCTGCCCAGGTCCTGGCTGACATGGACTTCCGGGCCGGCCTGCATCTTCCAGAATCAGCATTGCCAAAGCATCCTGATTCCAGTCTCCCAAAAGCCACTGGCCCAAAAATATGGGGATCTGAAGTCAGAGTCAGTTCTGAGGGGCTGGGTGAACACCAAACCAGTCATTCCTATCTGGGCCTCGTGTCTTCTCAGCTGCAGGAGTGACATGAATGTTGTGGACAGCGTCGACAGTTCCCTCCGGCACAGAAGCACCGTATAACTTGACACTTTCTTGAAACCTCAGAATTCTTCTCAGATGGTTTCGTATGAACCCAGTAATTATGAGTACATTTTTGAAATCGTATATAGGCGCTTTCCCATTGCTTGGCAAAGAATACACGTGTAGAAGAATATGAGGTATGATTTTCTTTTTATTGGTTTTATTCTGACCCTTAAGACTAAAAACTTAGGGCAATATTTTCACTAATGAATTATTTGAGTGGTAAGACAAACAGAAGACGTATAGGATGGCAATTAGAGGGTTACACAATGCCATGACCTGGCCACCAAGATCAGCTATCTTTTCTTTAAGAAAACCCAAAGTGTGAAAATTGAGATTGACACAAAACTCAGCGACAATTATTGACTTTGTGAAAAAATTAATATGCATCCACCCAGCTATCTGTCCACTCCTTCAGGAGGACAATAAACAAGCACTACCATGTGCTCAGCCCTGGAGCAGGTACTGGGAATGTAAAACTGAATACAGTGTGAGAGTAAATGCCACATATCCTCTGCCCTCTAGCTGTTCATGGTCTGCACAGAAAGAGAAAAGAATTACAATGCACTGCTTTAAATGCTGCAATGGAAGTGTGAATAAAAGGGTGCAAAGACTGAAAAAGTTCCTTTACACAGGGAGTTTCCTTAGTATGTGTAAATGAGAATCATTTTTTTCTAGTGCTTCAGGTGTTGTTATTGTTTGTTTTATTTGCGGGGCCAGAGGTAAACTCAGGGGCTCACCATGCCAGGTGAGCAGTCTCTCCAGCCCTTCTGTCCTTCGCTGGGAGCCTTTGGTTCTGGTGGGCTGTGGCAGTAATTAATCACATGTCCCCCTTCTCTTGTGAACCAGCTAGGGAGGAGAGGCCAGAAAGGAGTGCTAAAAGCAGGATTCAGAGCATGCACTGTGGGTCAGCCCTCACAAGGGCTTAGGAGTGGGGCATTCTGCTCACTGATAATAATCCACCAAATAATTCACCACTCTCATTCATTTCTCTACCAGCATATTTGCTCTGATGATTACTATGAACCAAGTACTTCTCATAATGAACTCATTTTGTCCTTACAACCAGCCCCATGAAGTAGCTGACATCCTTTTCCCTACTTTCACCGGGAGCCAGCTAGGAGGCACTTTGCCCAAGACGTGCAGTTGCTGAGCCAGAGGTGGCATCTCCCAGCCCTCATGTGACTTCCCTGTGCTAGCAGGGACTTGGGCAGCCTGCTGTGTGGTGCCCATCTGCTCAGAGGAGAGTTTCTTCATGCAGGACGGGGATCCGAAAGGCAGGGGCCAACACTGAAGCTTTGAAAGACAGGCTGTGTATGAACTGTGCACCTTACCCACTTCTATGGGTAAATATACAGCCTAGGCACTGCTGGAGACCATGTTAATCACTGCTAGGTGCTTCAGCAAAGTTTCTGTCTGCATGTCTGTGGATGCATAGACAGGAATTAGGGGAGGGAAAGTGTCTCCCTCAGGGCTTGGAGTGAGCACACCACACACACACACACACACACACACACACACACACACACACCCATATTGGTCAGCTTTCTGTCCCTGTCACAAAATACCCAACATAAAGTAGAAAAATGCATTTTGGTGCAGTTTCAGTATGGTCCACTGGCTCCATTGCTTTGTGCCTGTGGGAAGGCAGAAACATGGCGGGAGGGCGTGGTGGAGAGCTGCTCACCTCACGGCAGCCAGGAAGCATGTGAAGGCCAGAATGAGTGTGAGTCCCCAGGGCCACGCCCCCACGACCCTCCCCCTTCAACAAGCCCCTTCCCAGAGAACCATCACCTCCCAGTGATGCCATCAACACATGAGCTCATCCATGGACTGACCCATTGTGAAGCGAGAGCCTCGCGAATGGTCACCTTCCGGAAGCCCCGCCTCAGCGCAGGATTCTGGGGACATTCTAGATCTAAACCATAACGCACCCTGTGGACATCCTTCATCGACAACGTGGCAGCATGAGGAAAACCCTCGGTTTACAGTCAGCAGCCTCAGGCCACCGCCTTTGTCGTTACTCAGGTTTGAACTGGCAGGCAGGCACCCTCAAACCCACCTGCCAGATGGCAACGACCACACCCACTTCACCAAGTGTCGCGGACACTAAACAGGGCAGTGTGGAAAACACACGTTGGTTCTGTTGCAGCTCAATCATTCGGTTTATCTTTAGAGCAGAAGAAGATTCTGGGATGAACGTCTGGGGCTGGAGATTCAAAACAACCATAAGTAAGAAACTACCTCTGTGACCTCCATTTCCCCCTTTATGTGTGGAATAACAGTAATACCTGCCCCTCAATGCTACCTGGTTCATGTGAGAATCAGACACGATAATGCTCACCAAAGGACCTTGAATAATTGAAAATTGCTATACGGCTGTCGGATGCCGTATTATGAGCTTGATAGGATTTCTCAGTGTCCCAAAAGGGCGGATTTCTGTTGTTATTCTTGGTGAAATCTTTATGAGCGTGACAATTACAAAAGAAGTGAGGCTAATTTAGCACTAATGTGACGCTAGTCACTTTTCCAGCCTGGACCTTTTTAGCAACAAGAGAAAGCAAGGTCTCACCTGTCTGGCAGACAAAGGAGTCTGTTTGCATCCATTCCCTATCAGGTTGTTTTTTCCTGAGGGCCTTTTATTGTCAATGCGCGGTCTGGGACAAAGGAACCAATTTCAAGAAGCTAAGTCCCTTAGACTCAGTCGGACTCGGCTCCCTGTGCTTCACGGAGGACACAAGAGAAGATGTCTTCTCGCCAGATGAACAATGAGTGCTCATGTGGGAGGTGACAGGGAACAAATTCAGGCCAATTCTGGGTCTCAGTCCTTCCCTGGGCCTCTCTGCATTTGGCCAGAAGAAGATTCAGTGTCTGGCTGTTAAAAACCATTGAAAAAGACATTTTACAGAACAATTAGCCTCACTGGTGAAAACTCAAGGTAGTGAGGGCCCAAGTGATACTCTGCGGTGCTGACATCAAGCCCTTATGCATGCTGGGAAGGCGCTCTGCCACCGAGCTGCAGCCCGCCCCTGGCCAAATTCCTTGCTCCTCTTTCTAACCCGGCACTTGGGCGTTTTCTCAATTTTATGCATCGAGAAATAAGGCTGGGAAAGGACAGAGGAGACACTGTAGCAGTAGAGTCTGGGTTGGAATGCAAGGCTGTCTGTCCTCAGTGCTTCTAGTCTTCCCGTATTACATTACTAAGGCAAACTACCCTAAAACATCGTGTGGAATTGTTCTTCACCACTCCCTTTGGCAGTCCAAGGTGCCCATTCAATGAGCACTTGTCTCTGCTGGGGATCTGGTCTGTTTTAAGCCATCACGTTGGAACAATGGGCATTATTCTTGCTATTCACTTGAAAGGGTAATGGGAGCTTCTAGTGCACTGCAGAGAAAGTTGACTGAAAATTCGAATGGCGAAGACTTTTAATACTTTGGGATAACTCTTTAAACATTAAATGCACCTATTAGTTTCATGGAGTTCAATGCTTGAGATTTTTGAAATCAATAATTTAGTGCAGATCACATGATTAATTTCCTTTTAAAAGTCAACAATTTGGTATCACAGCTCACATCTGACATTCCTGTTTTATTTTCACAATGATATTCAATACTTTGATTAGTAATTAAGTATAATGGAGAAAAGACTCCTTTCCTACCCTGGGGCTTACAGCAAGGTAAACACGCTGTCATATTCAGGAGGTGCTTTGGTAATGTGAAACATCATCTGGGATATCTCTTTGAGTTAGAACAAGAAAATGCCCTAACTTTAAATATGGAAAAGGTGGGAAGAAATCTTATAGAGCCTTAGAATTCAAAGGAAATGAAACAAGTTTAAATTATGATCTTGTCGGAAAAAAGTTTAAAAACCAAGAAAACAAGAATTACTCCTATTCATTGTTTGAGACCCCTAAAGTAAGAGAGCCTGCGGCACGCGGGCCAGCACTAGCGCTCTGCAGCCCTCACCTGGGAAGTGGGGGAAGCACTCTGGGCTGGGCATTCACTCCCTGGACCGCACGATGGAAATACTAAGCAGAAAACCTCCTACCTCCCACCTCATCTTCGCAAATGAATTCTTTTACAAAAATGCCGACTAGGCTGCAGCAGCGATTAAAAGTTTTCTCTGCAGAAGAGTCTTCGTTACAGTGTGTGCGGGGCCCATTTATGGGCACTTGGGGAAAACCTTTGTCCCTGGAGTCAGTGGTTCACTCAAGTCTGTAAACTCAGGGTCCCTGCCCTCTTCTCTGAAAGGAAAGAGTGGGCTAAACATTTTTCCTTCTAATAATTAAAAATATTTTAAGTATAAAAAACACCAAAGGAAATTTACCATCTTAGCTGCATCTAATTTCACAGTTCAGCCGTGTCAAGCATGTTCTCACCGCTGTGCAGACCATCTCCAGAGCTTTCTCACTTTGCGAAACTGAACTCAAATCTACCAAGCAGCTGTCATTTCTCCTAGTGCTTCTCTGGCAGCCACCCTGCCACTGTGTCCTTATGACCTGACTATTTGGGTCTCTCGTACCAGTGCGGGCTCTGCTACGTAATGGCGCTCACTGGTGCGCTCACTGGTGCGTTCACTGGGCGTAACGCTCTCAAGGCTCACGGTATTCCAGCCCGCAGTGCGACTCCCTACCTCCCAGCGACTCAGAAACGCTGGACTTTCCTGTTCTCCGTTTCCTCGGCGTGGACGGGTGTGGGGGCGTTTCTGTAGTGTGGCCACTGTGGCTAAGGCTGTGGCTCTGGGAGCAGGACCTGCCTCGAAGGCCCGAGGCCTAGGTTTGAGCCTCAGCACGAAAACATCCTGCTGTTGCTCTCCCGTCTTTTGGAGAAATACCCAGAAGCAGGCTGGCTGGTAACTCTGGTTCCGACTTTTGAGGAGCTCATGCTGCTCTCACAGCAGCTGCATCTAGAGGCAGCTCCAGTCTCCTCCCTCAGCTGCTTTCCTGCCAGCGGTGTAGACGCCAGGAGCCCTCTCCCCGGGGCTTTGAATTACATTTCTCTAGGGTTAGTGGCCCTGGACATCTTTTCATGTCCTGCTTGGCCATTTGTATATCTTTGTTGGAAAACCATCCATTTCAGTCCTTTGCCAGACTTTTAATTAGTCTAATCTTTAAATCTGACAAATCCGGCAGGTCTTATAAAATTAAATCTCTTCCATTTTCATGACTGTGGTAGAACAAGTACATTTCAACTTCAGCAAACATGGATCCAGTCCGATGTGATTCACAATATTCTAGAAAAGGCAGAGAGCTGGATCATAACATAGTCAGATGGGTTTGTTATTCACCTCATGCCTTTACCTAATAATCAGCAAATGGGTGTCAAATTGGGGCAGAGTGTGACTAGAAACCCGCCTACTCCATGTTATCATCAAAGAGAATATATTTATCCAAATTTAAAGAGGCCTGACTCTAGAAAAGATTGTTCATAGAAATTAGAGGACTGTACACAATAACCAAAGATAACAAATCCAAATCACCAACTGAAATTTTACAAGTAGATATTATAACTTCAGGTTAGATTAGAGACCTTGCTTATAAAGCCCGTGATTAGAAAAATCTACTAAATAATTCTTGCTGTAATGCCTGTCCCCCAAAGATACTAGTGAGTTTTAGAGGAGACTGGAAGGGGAGCCAGCAACAGCAACATGAGACTGGCTCCAAACTGTCACCCATGGCACTGAGAGCAACGTAAAAGCCTTCACTGCCATGGCGGGGTCAACATTGCCCTGGTCCTCTTCTGTCTGTTATGGTTGAAAGAAAAACGGACAAACAAAAACACTGAAAGATGTCTTCTACTCTAAAGAGGTATCTTGTATTTTAAAGGATTTTGAAAAAGCAAAAATTCTCCAGAGGAAAAGTGAGGAAAAGAAATGTAGGAGCTGGGGTGTACTTTTTAGAACAAAAAGAAAAGCTAAAGATGTGACACACGTCTCTAAATCGTATGAACTGGATCTGGTCCATAGATTTGTCCCTTATTCGGGGTTTCAAAAATTGCAGTCAGTTGTCAATATTAAAAAAAAAAATCAGGTATCCATTGTAAAAGGTGGAGTTTGGGGCTGGGGATTTAGCTCAGTGGCACCATGTCTGCCTCACAAGCACAAGGTCCAGAGTTTGATCCCCAGTACCAAAAAAAAAGAAAAAAAAAAAAAAGGCAGAGTTTGGAGCAAAGGCTCAGGCTGAGGCTGGGGCTTCTACGGTGCCTCCAGGTTCTGTTTCACCCACTGTACCCTGCATCTGTGGGTTCCCCTAGTGCCATCCCATAGGTGGCTTCTCTGTTGATGCCATTTGTTTCATGGGAACCTTGATGGATACAAAGTCAACAGCAAAAATCATTCCAGGGTAAGGTGAGTGCTCTGTTGCCCAATGGTTAGGATGGCAGTGGGCGCTTCCTATGACACATGGTGGTGGCCCACAGTCAGAAGCTTTCGAAAGTTACTGGAGAACAACTTACACAGTGGGTTAACGGCTGATATATCCTGAGGACAATTTTTTAAAAAAACGCACTAAACAAAATATTTAACATCCATGGTCAATAATGTTTATGGTTCATGACTTAGCTATAAGTTTTGGTTCACTATTGTTCTTTACTTTGTTGAAAATGCATAAAGACTGGAAACTAAAATATATTTTAGAAACGTCTGCAGCATAAAAATAACATCCAGGGGCTTCAGACTATTAAAAAGCACTGCTCTGTTCCTTCCTTCCTTCCACCTCTCTGCATCCAGGTTCCTGTAATGTTCAATTTTGGTTTGAAGCAATGGCTGAAAGACAAACTGCTTTCCAACAGGTCTTCCATGAGAGCTGGGAGAAGGCCACTGACAGTAAGTTTCAAAACTGTAGCATTCACAATCTAGAAAACATGTGCCATGTCCCAAACTGTAAAGCACCAAGTGCAGAAAACGGTTTGTGACAAAGCAGAACCCTGGGTTCTGTTCGGAGTCAAGGCTACTCAGACACAGAACCGAGCAATGCGCACTTTGGGAAATTGCTGTGAGCCTGTGTCTTCAAAGGCAATACGAGAGTACTAGGCCTGGAATCCAACGTCCACGGGACGCATGGGTCACTGCTTTTCTTATCAGTGGGTTCCTGTGGGTGAAGCTGCTTCAGGAGTAAAGATAACACTGCTGCTTGGAGTCTGGGGTGTTTGGCAGAGGCGGAACCTCGCCTTAGAGGAGAAAGAGACAATGCTAGCACTGTGGCCTTAAGATTTGATCAAGTAAAACTAAAGGGCCATGGTGGGACCATGGAAACACCAGCAACAGCAGGACTCTGGCTTCTCGTGCAGATCAAGGAACAAAGAGGGCATCTCAATTAGAGAGGGACAGAGAAAGAAGACATTTGTAAGAATACAGCGGAAATAAAAGGGCCAGATGGCTGTGAAAGGAGCTCGCAGAGAAACCAATGTTCCCCACATCTCCGCCTGCAGAGCTGGGCACAGAAGCAATGTTGGGGAAATGGAGGGGCCCCAGGAACAGTAGCAAAATGTTCTTTCCCAACTGAGTTTCCACCCATCCTGAGGTACTTGGCTTAGAGGGTGGTGGCAGGGACTGGAGGTGACAGGACAGTGGGAGAAGCCGTTCAGGCAGGACTGTGGGACAGCGCCAGCTGCAGACCGCAGACTGCAGACTGAGAAATGCACTCAGCTCCATTCCTGTCCGCATCCGCAGAACTACAAGTAAGACCAGAGGCCAGGGAACCACAGATCAAAGGGCAAAGGGCAAGGATAAAGGTGTATTTGTTCCTCTGAGGTAATCTACAATTTGTTCTCCAGCAGCTATGGCACGGTGGACAGAGGACAGGAGCTGGAGACCTGCAGACCCTGGCTTTAGTCAAAACAACAGACTTTGAAAATGGTTCTGGACAAAGCGGAAGTCAAGGTGGGTGTTCATAAGGTGACGGAACAAGTAAAACTGGGAGTGATATCAGGTGGCCCCGAGAAGGGTGGAATTATTAACCACAGCTGTGTGGCCTGGCCTTTGCAGGTTCTCTCCAGGTCTGACCGGCCAGTGAGGGAATACATCATTTCCTGTCATGATATTCTAATGGGCAGATCCCAGGACTCGAACGACGGGGAGGGGCCAGGTCTCCCTCACACTAGGTTTTGTGCTTTTTTCTACTTCACTGAGCACAGTCTGGATCTGCACGCCATCCTAGAGGAGCCAATCTCTAGGATCACTTAATTATATATTTTGTTCTAGAGTTTAAGGTCCACAGGTAAACTCCTGCAGACTGCTCACCAGCGTTCCTATTCTAGAAAGGACAGCAAAGTTCACATTCCCTACTGAATTAGTCCATTCTTCTTTAGCCTCACTTAACTGAAAATGAGTCGCTGTCACAGTAGGAAAACAGAAACCCTACAATGACTGTGAAATCTCCTTAACTTGGACTTAATTAAAAAACGGAGGAATGCTACCAGGCCACTCCATCCCACTGAGAACCAGGAGGAAAAGGACACGTTTCAAAGTTTCCCTATCAGCTTATAATCCACTGCCAGAAGAAAAACCCACCTGCCCACCTGCCCCCTCTCTTTCTTTTTCTCTGTCCTTTCTTTCTTCCCACCCTCCCTCTCCTCCTCCCCCCCATATAGTCACATAGGCACACAAATCACAGTTTAAACCTCGCCACCGGTTTGAGTCCTGACTAACCTCTTAGTAACCCGAAGGTACCCAACCTCTCTTAAGCCTCAGTTTCCTCTTGTGGGCATCATAAAGCCCTGCTCAGAGGGACAAAGAGCTCCCCGTTTATGTGATAATTCATGGTCTGTTCAGTATGGTTTTTCAGCTCACTGTAAGCATCCAATAAATGGCAATTTCTGTTTAATACTACTGTTATTTGAGGCTACAGCTGTGTTGTGAAGAAAGGGTTCTCCCCGCTGGCTTTCCTGCACTGAGACCTGGATAACTGCTGGCCAGGGTTGCTCCCAGACACAATTCGCACCACCAGCCCCACCCTTGGTGACAACCCCTATGCCTGCACGCACTACTGAGGAGGAAGAGCCATGGTTTCACAGACAGGAGACCCAGCTTCTGTTCGCTACCTGCTGATCCTGGGCTTTGGTTTCCTCACACAGTAAAACAGTGCTGGAAATTCTCACACCATCTTTGGAGCTTTTTGAGGGGAGTGAGACAGAAAAGAAAATCCCATGCGCTGTGGAAGTCACAGAAGTAGGATGCCACGACATGATGTGGTCAGCAGGGGAGTGCTGAGTGGGCAGTTAGGAGACGCTTTCCCCAGGAGGCAGCTGAGACTGATGAGCTGTTTTCTAGAACTTTCTCACCAGGGAGTAGCTGTTCTCTCCACAGCATTGTATCTAGCACACGTCAAGGATTCCCTCCGCCTCTATGGACACCTTTGTGGCTTGGCTTGAAGAATTCAAGAGGAAACATTTTCCTCAAAATGAAATGAAAATGATCTTAAAAAAAAAAAAAGTCTAAGTGGTGAAAACAGCCTTGTCCTCTAGATTTAAACTTCACCTGAATTTATTGCTCATATGACTGGAACTAACCAGTCCTCAGAAATTTAACTGTGTCTTCTGCAGACTGATACGCAGAAATATCCGAGAGTTTCCAGCATCACTGTGCTGAGGCATCACTTCTACCGCGCTGTGCTCAGGGACACGATGGCAGACCCCTTTCTCAGCAGGGGTATTTCTTGCGGTCATGTATCATATAATGGGAACCAGCACGGTGGAACTTAGAGGGTGAGCTCACTGTCATTTCTGCATTTGTTTAAAAATCTTTAAACAAGAAGGAGCAGAATGACTGGAAACACAACATGACTCTGGCCACAGCTGTCTACACACAGGCGAGGATTCAGGGCCCAACCACCCCGTGACAGCTGTGGGAGAAGGAGGAGACCTTGGCTCTCCTGGCCTCCGTGGGGCCCCGTGACCACCACCTTGCCCACTACAGTCATGAGTGTTACGTGGATGTGGGTGTGCCGAGCCCTGGTCCCGTGCGGGCTCGTGGTGTGCACGACCTTACTCTCTCCGGTCTGAGGGAACCTCTGGAGGCCCACAAGCTTCTGTCTCCGAGCCGGTGTGGTGTGAATGCTTTGGTCAGGCTGCTACATGAGGGCGGAGGCCTGGTAGGCACAGTACAGCCCCAAGTGCTCGGCCATGGGACTGGCGCCCTTTGCCAGATGATCAGCATATCTCCCAGGTGACGACTTCCCCAGTTCTGATGGGACTTGCTGGACATGAAAGGAGGGCGGAAGTTACCTGAAGGTCAGTGGTGTCGAGCGGTGTTTTGAGTGACCAGTGCATTTCATCCTTTAAGAATGCACCGAGGCCGTGTCACCTGCGCTTGGAAAACTGTTTGCTCAGCTCACCGGCTTGTAGCTGTGACGCCATCCTGCTCTGCCGGACGGTGCCCAGGGCTGTCCTGCACCAACTGGCCTCCTTCTTGCCCCTCTCCGGATGTGCTAGGCTTGCACCTCAGGGTCCCTGGCTGCCCTGTGCAGGCCTTTGGCCAGGTGCTGACAGACACCGTGGCAGGATAACAATGCGGGGAGGATCCTGGGGCTGTGTGTGCCATGGCTGCTGTGCCGCAGAGAGCACCCGCCTTGCAGGAAGGCACGGCAGATCCGCCGCGGTTCCCAGGTCTTAACTGCAGGTTACCGCCTTTCTCTCACCTCAGCACCTTCTAGAAAAAGGAGCAGACCGGGTGCAGTGTGATGGCCGTGGGTCCATCCCGCCTGTGCTGTGCTCGAGGACACACCGAGAACAGCCTACGAGGGCCCACTCACGCCGGGCCACTCTGGTGACATCTCTGCCCCTGGGGAGCTGTGCCCCTGTTATTTCTAAGGCCGCGAAGGCTGTGGGGTGCAGTTACCCCCAAAAGTGTGCCCGATGCTCTACCCGTGTATTTCCAGACAAGCAAGCGCTGGCCATCGACTTCCCCCTTACCCGAGGGGGGAGATTCTCGCGCCCGACGGGGTGGGATGGAGCCCTGTGAAAGTGACCAAGGACATTAGGGGCCGGGCTTCGATTTACCGCAGGCTGGGATGTCGCATAGGTCGGACTTGAAGTTCTCGTCCAAGGTGAAGCACCAGGGGGCTTCCTTCTGGTTCCCGGGGTTGCGGCAGTAGGAGTGGCCTCCATTGAGCTCAGGGAAGCGGAGGGCGGTGAAGGTGTGCGTGTGGGGGTACTGGGAATTCCAGGGCTGGCACTGGCGCCCTGACTTGGTCACGCTCACTGTGCCGCGGTAGTCCACCCCCGTGCTGTTGTAGCACTTGTGATCTGAAAAACACAGAGAGGAGGGCGTGTGATTAACACCCTGACCCGGAAGTAACTGGTTCGGGGGCAGCTGTGAGGACGCTGCATGCGCGCTGCCTGAGAAACAGCCCTGAGCAGCTCGGGTGAGGATCGGCTGACACCAGGACGCTGAGACGGTTACCAGGGAGCTCACACTCCGGGAAAGGGCGACTGCGGAGAAGTCTCTTGTCCGCTGGTGGAGAGGGAAGAGGGAGAGGAAAGCCTTCCTGTACATTTAAATATATTTGGTGCAATACACAGTCCCTAAACTTCGAAACGCCTACAGCTTCACCCCTCTCAGGTCCTAGTGCCTTCTCTCAGCCAAGAGGAAATCCCGAATCTGGGAACAGCCACTCCCCCCAGCCAGCCCGCCCCGGCGGCACGGACCTGCCTCGTCCCTGCGGGTTTGCCCGTTGCGCAGATATGGAACCCTGGAAGCCTAGGGTGCCGGCGGCTTCTTCCGCTTGGTACAAAGCCCTCAGGCTCCTCCGAGGGGCAGCATGCACTGTGTTTCACTCCTTTTTATGGGTAAATAATGTTCCGTGGCGCGGATACACCACGCTTTGTTTACTGGTTCCTGCACTGGGGCACCTGGGCTGTTTTTCCCTTTCGGCTGTTGCCAACAGCGCTGTTCTGACACTCTTCGAGGAGGTTTTGTTTCAGTGCCTGTGCTCAATTCTTTTGACGAAATATTCGGGGCAGAACAGCGGGGCCACACGGGAACACTGTCAAGTTGTTGAGAAACCCAACCCCACACTGTAAATTATACATAAGGCTTCTTAGTGTCTCCGGATACCGAGAACGGAGCGGGGTGCACAGCCCTCGGCGCCCTGCCACGGGGTCCCCGGCCCTCAAGCCAGGCGCATCACGTACTTTTGTTGATGGGATCGGCCATGGGGACGCCGATGCGGATGCAGTGCGCGGCCTCCGGGCTCTCCGGCTGGGGGAGGTCTTCACAGTTGGGCAGCTTCAGCCTCATGAGAATCATGGGGTTCGATCTCGCGAAAATGTACTCCGTCTGGCACAGCACGTTCTCCAGGATCTCACACTCGTCGCGGCACAAGTCTCGGGGCTTCGGGACGGCTGAGGTTTCGTCGCAGTAGGGGAAGGCGTAGTGGCACAGGGAGGGGATGGCAAACTGGGAACACTTGTCAGATAAGTGGCTGGAGGTGCCGATCATGGTGAAGGCGGCTGGAAGACAAGCGCGGCGATTAGCGGGCCGGCTGGATCTGCCTTCCTCCAACCGGGAAGAATCTGCCGCCCCAGGCACTCAGGCCCGGGAGGAGATTTGTTTCAGATGTCTAAGCAGCTAGCTTTCACTGGCTCAAAAAAATCATTTTGACTACAAAGTTAAAAAAAAACAGGATAAGATTACATATGTACCATTTCCTAATAAAATAATTAATTAGGTTAAAGCACAATCTATTTTTCATTTTTTACTACAAAGCACTGGAACTCTGTGTTTCATCCAGCCCTTTTATTAGTTCTGTGAGGCCCGGCAGGCTGTGCCGCAGCTCAGGGCAGAGGTGCTATGGTGGCGGCAGCTTGGCCGGGGGCAGCCAGATCGCAGGACCCTGGGAACTTGCAGTGCTACCCTGAGGCTTGGACCCTTGTTCCACCATCTTCTGAAAATGAGGCAGCCTGCTTGGACCTTCTCACACGACCCAGTTCGGTGTCCGTACAAAGCAGCACGGGCCTCCGGGGCAGCCCTGAGCTTGTGGTACAACACTCCCCACAGCATGCTTCCTGGGGCAGCAGTCTGGCAGAATATTACACTATATGAAGGACTGCACCCCAAACAGCCTGGGAAATGCTGGCAAAACAGATGAAATAATACGTAAAGAGCAACACTCCCCAGTAAGTGGATGTCCCGTGATAGGGTTACTATAAATGGGCCAATGCTTACATCAGGACCTCTGTTTACTTAGCTGAACGAATGTTAAAATATTCTTCGATTAGGTTGAAAAGTGCTGTCGACAACTCCTCCCTATTAGACTGGGTCTGCTCTTTGACATTTCAGAGCCTTCCTCTTCCCTGGAAAGCCTGATGGCTTAGCCAGTGTTTACCCCAACGTCCTCTGGTTGCTTCTCAGTAACGGCTCCCTGGCCCTCCTGGGGACCCGACTTCTGTCCTTTTGCTGCTCTGTGCCCCTACCTTGGTTTTTCCTCACCTCTATTAAATTCTCCAGTTACCAGCTACACTACAACAGATGACTTTGAGGCAAATATCTGCCAAAAAACGCGGTTATCTGACACGCAGATGGAGGTGGATACTCTACACTAGTACTTGCTGTACCTGGCAACCTTACTGGAACCTCTCGAGCTCTGGGATGTTCTAAGGACTGCACCGGCACGTGCCCAGGGACCCAGGACCACACTCATGGGAGGGCCACGTGGCTGTTGTCACTGCCAGGCCCACGTGGCCTGCACTACCACACGTGTGTGCCAGAGAGCTTTGCAGTGAGACATCCACCAAGAGAAAATTACAGTTTAATAAGAAAAGCAAAGGGTACAGCGTGGAAAGTTTGAGCGGGCCACGCATCTCCCAGGGGAAGAAATGACTCCCTGCCCAGCGAGCACTTTCTCAAGAGTCACTGTGGCCCAGGGATTTGGAATTTGGCTCGTGGCTCCAAAACAGGGAGCCCCGTGAGGGCGGAGGCAGGCCTGGCTCGTTTATCAGGTCTCCCCCGGGGCCAGGCCGTGCTAAAAGCACTCAAAAATATTTATTGAGTGTTTGAGTGAATGTGCAACTTCTCAAAGCTTCCTTTTCCTCTCAGAGCAACCTCCAGTAAATTATTTTAATGCAAATTCCAGAGCACAGAGATCACGTCTGCGCATCTTTATGGTCCCGCCGGCCCCAGGCCCAGCCTAACCCTCTGCCTCAACGAAACTCGGTGGGAAGAAGTTATTCCGAGAAGTGGCGTCCCGAGGAGATCACCTACCTGTGATCTGGTTTTCTATCTCCCCCTGCATGTGCAGAGACTCCATGTAGACTGTGCGGTTGCCAATGAACCGGGCGCACGCAATGCCTCTGTAGGGCTGGCAGAATCCGTCCTCCTCGTACTCGTCCCTAAAACAGAGCGGAGCCATTAGTCAGCACAGGGTGCGCGCTGCCCCTCGGGGCACTAGGGGGCGCAGTCGGGCACCGTATCCTGAAGAGGACTAGGGCTGAAAACATCTGGTGGTCACGCTGGCCTAGTTTCCTGCACCCCCAGAAAACCATCCTGAAGCACAAAATCATCCTTAAGTACAGGAGAAAATGCTTTTATTTTCGCAGCTGGTGGTGGGCTAGAAGATGATGTAGTTATAAGGGTGAAGAGGAAATGAGTTGGAAATCTGGACACATGTGCTGCAGTGTTTTGTTTTTAGCACAGATTATTTCTGCTTCATTTGCTGGGAAGGCATGGGCGCATCAGCCTAGACAGGTCAATTAGGAGGATCCACAGGGCGGGAAGGAACCTGAGGCCACCCTGCAAGGTGCTCGTCACCAAGACCCACCGTCCCGACCCTGCAGAAAGGCAGTCTGCAGATCAGACTCTCAGGTGAGTCACTAAACCCAAGGCTATCACGAGAAAATGCCCACAGAAAGCTCACCTTCACAGTCCCCCAACATTTCCAGAAAAGTCATATTAACATTTTACTGCCTCAAAATGATAGTATTAAACAAAAGAGGGACACAGATTTTATCTTGAAGACCAGGTAGAGGAGACACACAATTCATGGCAGTGTGCCAAGCGACAGGACCGGAGATCAGGACCCAGGATAGCAGGTCCAGCTTGGAGTTTCCGATGGCCCAGGACAGGGCGCAGACATCCACCCGACACCCAGACTGCCAGGGCTGTGGCGGGCTCCGATGCTTCTGCTCCGCTCTCCCAGCTGCTGTGCACGCACCAGCCCTGCCCAATACCACTGCCCTTTCAGGTTTCTTTGCAGCTCAAAGTCTGGAGAATGAGCCAGTTTTCTTATCTATACGACGGAACTGTCCCTTGTGCCCTACAGTTGCCAGCCGCAACAATCCTGCCAAGTGAGACAAAAGCTCCTCAGGCTGCGAAGCTGGAACGTGCTGGTTCTGAAGTAACTACAGTGACGGAAGGGGACAGGCACAGAAGAGACAGACACACGGTGTGCGTCTACTCAAAGGCGGGCTCCATCAGAGCCACAGTGCTGGACTTCCCAGTGCTGCTCAGTGAGTGCTGAGGTCTGGAAAACCTGCCCATTTTCTGCCGGTTTCTATTCCCTGGTCTCTGAATCAGTCATTTGGAAGGTGCATAAAGTAATATCGTTTGAGTCTCCAAAATAGTCTGTATTGCAGCTCTTAAAAATGTAACCTTTAAGTGAACACACAAATAAATACATCACATACCTGACACGAAGACATTGAGATTTTAATGTTGCCCAATCCTACAAGTACTCCACATGTTTACTTTCATAAATCCTAGAGTAATGTTGAATCCTTTCTGGCTTAAATTTTACTTGGGTTGTAAAATTAACCCAACTTTTATTGGGTAACTAATACCATAAACCTATGGGGAAAACGAATGTTCTCCACGACCTAGGTTTTGATGCTAGAAACTTCAGTGCAGGGACCAGAGCCTGCCCCAGCGGTGCCCCTGCGATCACAGACCCGGCTCTTCTGTCCCCCGCATTAGCAGAGCCCCGATGTTTAAGGTGTCACTATGAGAACCCTTTCTCCTCCCCACATTAAACCTGCAAGGCCTGGATTTATACCTCCTGGGAGGACGAAACCCTGGAGTTACCCCCAGATATAAATCTCCAACCTACTGGGAGACCCCGTATTTTATGTGCGAGGCGTAGGCTAAACTTCTTACCACCTTTTCCATTCAGGACTTTCCTTCTAGGACTCTGAAACTGTTTTTCCCAGAATAAAAGGGAAAGCAATTCTTTGGCCACCCATTTCTTAGCAAGGGCTTAGAGCTACAGGTGCATTGAATTTTTGACTCTGCCTGGAATTCCTGCTGTCCTGATCACTCTCCTGGAAACAGATGTTAAATACTCCAGGGTGCGATATGATCTGCTGGGGAGTAGCTGTCCGCCTGGCTGCAGCTAAGAGTCCTTTGTGGAAGCTGTGGAAAAGACCAGTGCTTGGCCCTGTGTGGGCCTGGGAAGCCACTCTCTGAGGCAGGGCTTAGAGACTCCTAAAAAATGAGGTGATGCCACATGGCCGGGAGCCACAGCACTCAGCAACCAGAGAGCTTCCATCTGCTGCCTTCGGCTGGGTGCTATGCCCGGTGCTTCCTTTAAAGCAGCCCCTGATGTGCATCTTGGTCCTCATGTTACAGAGGGAAACACCCATCCCGAGACATCCGGTAACTTACTGAAGTTCATGGAGACAGTGAGAGGGGAGGTAGGATTTGAACCGCAAAGTCAAGCTCAGGACACTGTGATGTTACGCCATCTTGGTGGTTTTGTCCGTTGTTTGTTTGTTTGCTTGTTTGCTTGTTTTCTGGCACTGGGGATTGAGCCAAGGGACTTCACACTGAGATACATCATCAGCCCTTAAAAAAAACCTCTTATTTAAAAGAATTTTTAAAGACAGACTGCTGCTAAGTTGCTAAATTGCCCAGGATGGGCTCGAATTTATATCCTCCTGCCTCAGCATCCCACAGTGCCGGGACTGCAGGCGTGCACGTCATGCGCAGCTCAAGATGTTATTGGTTAAAACAACAACAGCAGCGTGGCTCATTCTCTGGATTTTTAACTGCAGACATGTAACTCTGTTCTGTTCAAGGGCATTCTTAATTAAATCAGCCTAATCACAATAAGAGGCTTTATAATGAGCCTCTGTTCTGTCCCAGGCACTGGTGAATTTTGTGTACTTATAAAGACACTGCTACATTACCTCACCCCAGCCAGTCTTATATGGACGTGAGGTGTAACATTCTCATTTCGCAGGTGACAAAACCAAGGGCCAGGAAGTGTGAAGAGGTTGTCCAAGGTTACATAGCAAGTAGAAGAGCTGCGTCTGTCCTTCAGGATCACCTGTGACCATGCTACACAGCTTTCTTCTTGACAGTTTGGTCAGGAAAGGCTTTGCATTTCTTAGGAGGCTTTTTCTGCAGAGAAGTGCCACTGTCCCCTGGGTGGCAGAAAGTGTTCTAACATTTAGTCACCACCTCCTTTATTCCTTCATCTTCCCATGGCTTTAGCCAGACTGTCCCAGGGGTTTCAGATTTCAGACTGATCTGCCAAGTCCTCTGAGCAGTGCCACTCACTGACCCTCAGTCGGGGCCAGTCTCTGTGTGGACCTGCTCCTTGTCAGAGACATCCTCCAAGTGGAAACCTACTCTCTTCCTTGCTGTGGTTTGAAGAACTGAACCCTCCAAAGCTGTGCACCAAAATTAACCTTTCCTCTTTTTAAAGTCTGATATCTCAGGCATTTTGTTATAGTAACTGGGAAGCTGACTAATACAATGCCCATCAGAATAATAAAGGGGACAGGTAGACCTAATAGACTTACTCAGCTGAACTGATTTTTGCTGATGAATTTGGCCCTGAAAATTTCCTTTAGGGGTGATAAGACCAACTTAAGATGCATGCTTCTCGAGTAGAAAGAGAAGAGTTACAGTGGAAAGACAATAGGTTTTGCTAATGGTAAAACTGCTTAACCTGAAGGATTAAAAATACAGGCACCCAAACAAATAACTACACAAACATTCATAGTAACATTATGCATGAGAGCTAAAATGGGCTATTATTCAACCACAAAAAGAGTGAAGTACTGAAATGTGCTACAGTGTGAGAGGACCTCAAGAACATTATGCTAAGTGCCGTAAGCTGTATTGCTTGTGTCCTTCTATGCGAACTTTCAGGCAATTCCACAGAGACAGGAAGCAGACTATGCCTGCTGAGGATTGGGGAGGGGGGAACAGGAAGTGAGAGGTAAGGGGTTTACAGTGGGGTGGACAAATTCACTTGGAGGAAAGTGTTCACTTTTAAATGGCTAGTCTTATGTTATGTGAATTTTACCTTTAAAAAAATCTCATTTGTACTCAAGGGCTAAGGTGGAGGGGGCTGGCTTGGAGAGGCCAGGGGTTAGTGTCCTGCCTTGGGGCCAGGAGGGGGTTGGGGGCAGCTGGGTGGGTTGCTCCCCAAAATGAATGAACCCAAGCCAGGACAGTCTGCAGAGAATCTTCAGGTGTCCACATTTCTATGCTAGAGGCTCTTCAAGTGGCTGCATGCAATCAGGCCCCTATAATGACTTTGGACTCACACAAGGTGTGAAGTCTCCCACCTCAGAAATGGGCTTCTCCCACAGGAGGCACAATTAGAGCTCTTACAGGTAAAAATCAGCTACAGCCCAGGCTGAAAGCAGATAGGCGGGACTGTACCAAACTGAAACGCTCAGCCCAGCAACAGAAAATTGACAGAGTGAAGAGACAAGGGATTCATACCCAGAAGAGGTGAGCCCTCACTCCCCAGGAAAAGTACAAATAATCTGGTTTTAAAAATACACGAATTATGAAAGGATATTGCTCAGAAAAGACATATGAAGGGCTAAGAAGCATGTGAAAAAAAGCTCACCACTGTTAATCATCAGGGATATTCAAATCAAAAGTACAGTAAGACACTGCCTCAGCCCAGGGTCAGGATGCTAATCATCAAAAAGACAAAAATAACAAGTGCTGGTGAGGATGCAGAGAAAGGAGAATTCGCACACACTGCCGGGGTGTGTGTGTAACTATGGAGATGGTGTGACGTAGCTCAATAAACGAAAGACGGAAATGCCATGTGACCCGGAAATCCCACGCCTGCTACCAACCCACAGCAAAGGGAAGCACATGTGAGGAGGCACCTGCAGGCCCACATTTACCGTAGCACCATCCCCAGGAGCCAAGAGACAGCATCGGAGAGTCCAACGACAGACGAACGGGTAAGGAAAATGTGAGAAACAGTCTGCCAACAAAACATACACACACTCAGGAAAAGAAAACTGGAATATCCTAACACCAACTTTACTGAGACATCATGAGACGGATACGAGTTAGCTGTGGCCTCTACAGTTACAAGAGGTCCTCCAAGTGGTGGGCATGAGCTCTCACACGCACAAGA